AGAGAGAGAGAGAGAGAGAGGAAGAGAGAGAACATTTATAGAAATAAAAAGAAAAATACGTAAAATTCTATTTAAAATATTACATAGTATGAAAAACTTCTATTTTCTGCTAATTCATGCTATTTTTATCCTTTAAAAACTTAAAATGCTGATTTAAAAAGTTTATTTTGCAATATAGAAGTTTATATTGTAAGACTGCAAACTCTTTTCCATGAAATCTTTCATATATTAGACACGTAGGTTTTATATCGCAAATAAGTCATAAAGGGAGACAGCACAATGCGACAATAAGCAATAAAAAAGATATTTACTCCAATGTTGGAGGGCGGCGCTGGTGATTGATGTGGATGTTGATGTTGATGTTGATTATTGTTTATCGTTGTGGCCGGCGTTAACGATCCGTAATATTCGTTGACCGGATCGATGTCAGCGACCGAGCCGATTTTCCGTGTCGGTGGATTCGTCACTGCAAACACGTCGAGAAACTTTTATGTGATGGCGACGTGTATAATATATTACTTACAAGTAACTTTCTACATTTGTAAACACCGCTAAAAATGCGTAATTCATTCCGTAATAAGCAATTATCCTTTTGTCCTCCGGTTAGTTAACAATTGTTAGTTGGCGCGATCCTGCGCGATCCGCCACATGAATTATTCCGTAGATTCAGCGGGGAAGCGAAACACGGAACCGCGGAATGAAGGAACATTAAACAAAGGCGATTGCACTTTCTATTTTCCCAACAAGGTGCACGCGACGATGATGTCGCAACGATTAATTCCAGTGCAAATTGCTTCGGCGATTTGTCCTTTGTGATGAATCGCTGTGTGACGGCGATAAAGGCATAATGATGCAAGTACAAGCGTTTAAGTCTGACGAGCGACAATAAAGCTTTGGGCGGCATCGTAAAAGTATAATATAGGTCTGGCGTTACAATAGGAAATAACAGCTAAGCGTTTGTCCTAAAATTCATCAATCAAAATCTTTCTGAAGAACAATCTAACGATTGAAGCGCTGCACGGTCCATTGAAACCAATTTACGCATGGACGCGGATTCCATCCCACGATCGTAAAATAGGCGGCAGAGTGCGACCTCGGGTGAAACATCGCGATAAAAAAAAAAAGCGTATCATTAAAATTCTTTCCTTCGATTCATCTTCCGCGAATCTTAATTATTGAGATACAGATATGAATACTTAATTCTGATATAGCTATGAATGTATAATCATCCGCGGACGTAAATAACAGTATCCGATCGCATTGGCATTTAGATATAAAAAATAATTAATAATAAATAATTAAAAGTAATAACCTGTTAAATACGTGTTACATATTAAACATGCAAAGATCGTTAATTTTATCTCGATCCAAAACGTCTCGTTACACTACTCTCTGCACATATTAGTTTATGCAATCTGTATAATATTAATATTATATAACATTAAATACCTTATTAGAAATTATTAAAATTAACGCAGTTATTCTTACGTTATAATAATATGGTCATGCAAACGTTTCTACACGCAGCGAAAGGTTGGCTGCAGCGATAAGTCGCTTGCAGACCGCGAAGGTAAACGCACCTGGTCCCTTGTCGCTCGTATAAATGACAGTGGTAGCAGCTTGCCTTGCGGAATAGGGACTCGGCCTCGCCTCGCTAAGGGGATCGTAATCGGCGATCCTACCTGGTGTCCTCTGTACCGGCGAATTCGCCGTCCTTGCGGGCGGCGGATTGGCGTTTATGCTCGACGCAGGTGCGATCGTACCGTCTGTGTACTCTACGTACTCTATATCAACAATGCACGGAGAAAGGCTAGCGAATACGTTCAAACAAGAAGCATCCTGCGATCCGCCCACCACGAACGGTATTATGACGAGTGCGTATAATGAATCGCGAACATGGGAAAAAAAATAATGAGGTAAGGTCTGTCTGAATTTTGCCTGAATTTTACGCCGTCGCGTCGTTTTTGGTGGATTGATTGCAGCAATACATGTGTATTCGTGATTATGTTATTCTTACAAACAATTTCAAATGAGATGCGAACAATAAATTAGTACACAGCGAATCCACGAATAGTGATGCATACATAATGTATGATCGACAATTTAATGATTGCACAAATACCGCTACGTAAATCGTCGTTAATTAACAGTTGAGATATTAAAAATTATAAACATGTGACTATTAGATTAAAATCGTACACATATAAATCAGATATGTATGTACGATTACTGACAGAGAATGATTTAAGACGAAAAAGTTAAATAACTTATTTAAAAAATTGTATAAATTATAAAACACATTGACATATAAAAATAAAAAAGAGAATTCCCAATTGTTTAATCAAATCACAAATTAAGTTTTAATCAAGCATTTTCTCAACTAGTCCGTTAAAAATCGTGCAACAAATTCTGCCAGAGCAAACATGATTTTTTTAGTTTGATAGTAAAGTTTTCCACGCTTATTTTGTTACAATTTAAAACGATACAACAACGAAATAATACCATGAAAATATATAAATTACATCTCTCATTATTTTATCAGCATAAACTAAAATAAAAACATAATGGTGAGAAAAAAAATAACGCAAACACACCGTTGACGAGTTAATCACCTACCTATTTGCTCGCCGTTTTCTCCGGTCATCGTCCTCTTTTGCTCCATGATCGCCTTCTTCTCAAGCTCGCCGTGATAAGCGACATTCGAGATGATCTTACTGTTCTGCTTGATTCTGAGGGTCTCCGGATCGTCCGCCACTTGCGTGAACTTCCCCTTCGCCTTCTCGAACTCGGCATGATACTTGACGTTACTCTGTATCTTCGTGTTCTCCGCGATACGCTTCAGCTCCGGTGTCTCCGCCATCGTGGTCGCTTTGGCTTTTGGTATGTGCCTGCCATAGGAAAGAAAACAAATCTCGTCATTAACAGAACGAACCCGTTGTCGCGAGAAATTATCTGCCCGCGGCTAAAGAGCCGTGAGGATTCATTCCTCGGAGCATTTAAATCTGCGCCCCGGTTAATCTTCAAGTCACTTCGAGTTTAAAGCACCGTTTCGTGACACCCGACGCAACGTCGTATTTCGCATGAGTTTCAGTTTCGCGTCCCCCCCCCCCCTCTCTCTCTCCTTAGCGAGAATATCTCGCGTATACGAGCCTCTCGCATTATTTTACATGGATTCCCCCGGGGCGACCTCCTACACAAAGGAAACGTGGAAGTTCGCTGACTAATGCAGGTTCCAAGTGAACGACAAGCGGTCAACGACGTCAGTCTTATCGTGAGCATCCTTCGTGCAGCGCGTCGATTATAATAGCTAATTATAGGCGTGGAGAGAAGAATAGCATAAAGCACGGACCTCGACATTTATTTTATTTTATAATTACGCGATTGAGTTTGGAAAATCCGAATTTCTTACATCATGTAAAACACGCTTAATCGCACAGGTGATAACGATATTTGCATTCTTACTATCAACGTTACTCTACGAAGCAATGTTTGTCTAAATAAAGACCTAGAAATACCTAGAAATTTACATTTGTCGGAAATTGAACGTACGAAATTTATATTCCGAATTTATGCCTTTTTTTATTTAAAAAATGTTTCAACTAGTTTAGTTTAAAATCTGTTATCTTTTTAGGAAAAATTTCAGCTACAAAATCTTTTATTCTATTATTAAATTTATTATTCGAAGAGATATATTTTTTTATTTAGTATTTTGTACTTTAATTAATATTAATTATAATAGTAATACACGTATCATATATACATTAATAAAATAAATATATACTAATACTGTGTATATTATAGACTGATAAGTTATATTTAATTACAACAACAATTCTAAGTTAGTGCTGGACAAACGGCCATTTCTTAAATTAAACGATTTGACACTTTGATAAATAGTACACGTCTCGAGTATGTAATTGTAAGAACTTATTAATTAGGCGGGTAAGAAGTGCGCGATATATTCTGAAACCTTCCCGCCGATTAACATATCCCGGCGAATTGAGCGTGCATAAACGAGCTATTTTAAACGGATTATTCGCCTCGCATACGTAAAACACATTTTTTGCTGCACGCGGCGCGTGTTCACGTGGAATAAGGATAATTATTAATCGACCGGCAACCGACCGGGTTGAGCCGAGTGAAATTCGATAGAAACCTCCTTGGCCGGGAAGTCGACCGATTTAATCGCGGCACAGGTAAATGTCCGGTGCCTACTTAACGAGATAGAAATCGGCGCGCGAACGCATAACGATATACCTACGTGCGCCTGCAGTAAATGACACGCGTGAGAATGCAATTTCCAGTGACATGCGTGGACGTATCGACAGTATCGTGTTGCGATCCGCATTAAAAAAAAAAAAATGCCGGCGCTGACGCAATTAAGGAAACGCTTCGCATTGTATTGATAATTGAAAATTCCGGTACGTTAACCCGTTCCCTATTGCAACTTTCTATCACGTTTCACGTAATACGCGTAAATGTATGCATGCAACTGTAACGTAAAAAAACTTATAATTTTTAATTGATTTTTTTTATATAAAGTATTTTTCGTTGTAAATTAAATTACAAGACTTGCTTTCTCTTTGTATAAATCTATTTTTAAGTAATTGTATTTTTTGTGGCAATAACCGTATTTTGGACCATGCGTCTAAAATAATCATCGAAAGCATAAATTCGACGTGTCGTATAACGCATGAGAATTAAGCTGACTTCGTGCCTGACGTACATATATACGCGAGACGCAATCGAGATTTGTGTCACGACTCCGTTTCCCATATACGGCGCGTTGTCTGACCCGGTAATTGTGCCACGCGATTACGTAATACTGCGGCGCACCGTGCACGAATAATAGGCATGCACTCTGACTCTCTTTGTTCGGAGAAGACGAGGGATAGTCGTCATTGTTACGTGCCCGGCGGAGGAAGAATTATCCTGTCGGCCGATGCGCATCCGAGTCCCTCGAATTTAGCGTGGAAAAGGAGGAGGTCCGCTAAAAGTAACGTTGAGAACCGGCCGCGCAAACGAAGGAAAATTGGAAAACAATGCGACCCCCGCATCCTTCTCGTGCGACTCGTGTTACACACGCTTGCAATTGTCATTACGGCAGATACAGATAATAACGTAATAATAGGTAGATGTGATAAGAGATAAAAAAATAATATATGTACTTCGCATATTTCCAGATAATTCAACGGAGATATGACAGGATTATAATTAAAGATTGGCCAACGGGCGTGAGCATCGAAATGTCAAATATTTCTTAATATCACGTTTAAGGAAAAAGATTTTTGTAATGATCTACTGAGACGAAATTTAAAATTAATAATTCAATTTACACATCTATCTAAATAACCCTATCGATGAAACACGGAATTTTCTTTTAAAATTTAAATCATGTGAAAATACTATGTTGTCCCACGATTAACATGAGATTTTCAGGATAAATTTTAAAATAAATTTCTCTCCTTGAACAAATTCTTTTTTTCAAGATTTTCAACAAAAATCTACAAATACACATGCGATTGTGCGATCAGTTTTTTTTTTCAGTAGTTAACTAGGAAGACTATACACCACGATTAATGCGCAACAAAGTGATTCATCGAATCATTTAACCACATACGTATGCGCGATGACTAATCTCTTAACAAACGCTTGTCTACGTACTATGATACACGTCCGTAATATTTATCGAATTTTTCTGACGCACTCAGGGCGTATCTTAAGCGGAAAATGTGGGAGTTTGATACCAATGTTAACATACGGCGCGAATAAAATAACGCAAAGGCATTTCGTCCCCGAGTGTAGATTTGAAATGATTAAATTACTCACGTGGAGTCATGACACATCTGATAGGCGATACAACGAGGATTTATTTAAGAAAAGATCCATATCTCGCTCCAATACGTGACCGAATTTAATGCATTAAATGTGATATAATAATCTATTTCTTTGTTGAATATGATAGACAAAAGATTGCATTTAAATTAATGATTTATTCAATGACATTACAAATACCGGTCGAATTATGGGGCGATAGAAATTTACGTAGGCACATCTCTCTCTCATGTTTGATTGTTCGGCAAAGTTTCTTCGGATTGCTCGACTACATCACGCGACACTGTACGTGCATACTTGATTTATCGAATACGTACATAAGTGCCACCAATGTACCGGAGAGGATAACATCTGTTGCACCTGGTTATCACACCAGTCAAATAGCAGCGGCGAGACAATATCGATAAATTACGGCCGAGAATCATAATACCGTTCGACAAACGAATAATTGAACTTGCAGATAATTATACACATTAAACACATTAGTTATATTGGTAACAGAGTTTAAACATTGATCTGATAACACGAACGACAAATTTAAATACCGAATATTTTATGACCTTACGAAGCGAATCTTTATATAAGTTTGTCTCCTTTCTCAAAAAGTCAACTTTGGAGTCAACTTTTTATTTTATTAAATCATTTAGAATCGCATAGGATTTCACAATTATCAATTCATTTTATAACTAATCACAAGTTCTCAAACATAAATTCTTTCTTTGGACGTACCTACCATATATGATTAACGCATGAATTTACATCATCATTAATAGAGCTGCATCACCATTAATAGAAGTTGAAATTTAAATATTAACTGATTATATGTATATTCAAATTAAAAATATGTTTTATATTTATATTCCAATCTTTGTTTTACTCTGATTCGATCGAAAGCCAAGGATTTCATCTAAATTGAACACTACCGATCTCGTAAAGTTTAATTAAGTTTAATAAATAAATTTCTCTCTCTTTGGCAATACAAACGGCAGTAAATACAAGACTCAAAACCGCATTTCTCGTGAGAGCGATATTATATATCGATGCGCACAAAGTACGTAAAGTCACGCGCAATGTCTTTCTAGTCGTGGGAGAAATTTCTCAGGGCGGCTCTATTGGGTTCCGTTACTGCGGTTAAGTCTCAGATGGCTTCGGAACTTGCTGCACGTCAATCGTGACGACAAAGCGAAGCCGTACCTACCTGTGTCCGCATTCTAGAAATTCTCACGAAGGCCAGGACAAACGAGCATGAAAACGCCCGGGAAAGATACACATTGAGAATTGAATAGAATATATAAGCCTTGTAAAAAGTACATAAAATTTGTCCTTTCCTCCACTATTATTGCACATCTGAGATAACAGATATATTTTTAACATACAAAAGTATGATAAGACATGTGTCTTTTTTTTTTAATAAATACAGTATAAGACTATTTGAATAATTTAAATGTACAAAAAACGAATAGTAAAATACTTGACGTAATTATGTATATTACTGTATAATTATAACTTATGTAATCCTAATAAAACGAAAGCGGAAAGCAAATTAAGTTAAATTTAATCGACGTTTGGCGAAACTAGGCGCTCGTTTGCAGTCTACAATCTGTTCGATTAAGAAATATCACTCATATCATAATCGGCAATTATACTGTGATTTAATTAACTGTAGAAAATTATATGGTACTCATAAACAGGCACAATTCTCTGCGTCGCGAGTCGGCCGTCTCGCTTGCAAATGTTAACCTTTCAGTAGAGATATTATTTCCTCAGACAGAAAATTGCCTCGCGAAAGTTCAATGTACTTTCCTCACTCTCGACGTAAAACAATGAAAATTGACTGTTCAGAAATTTTTGTATCCGGTAATATATACCTATGAGAATATATAAACTAAGTATATAGAAATCGTGGACGTGCGTTTGTCACGGATCTTTGCTCTTAAGACTACTTCGCCGCTCAACGTAACGTAACGACGACGCTCGGCGTTTTGCATCCGCCAAGTAAAAAAAAAAAAGGAAAGGTACGCACGCTGTCACGTCACGTTCAGAAGAATCTAGC